GGATTATGAAGGGTGTTATGTTTTATGCATGTTTGTAGTTAATTATTCCTACTATGAATCTGATGATTGGGCTATTTGTTAAACAAGTAATTATAATTTTTTTTTTATCTAATAATTCAAACCAAAAATCTGATGATGTCTACAAAGAACCGTTAACTCGTGTCTATTATTTAATAGATTATTATTATTTAGAAGTTTAATAATGTGCAATTTTTCATGGAGACACAAAGGAAAATTATTGACAAGGCTAGAACATGTAAAGCTTAGGATGACCCATGCCCTTTGTGCCTCCATGAAAAATTGCACATTTAATTTAAAGGATTATATTGAAGTTTTCGGCTCTTGTTTTGAAACATGAGACCTCTTATGTAGCGATTTGGAATCATATTTTTAAATAAATAATTATATATATATATATATATATATATATATATATATAAATAAATATTAATATATATATATATATATATATATATATATATATATATATATAGTCATTTACAGACAGACTGTTTTGCAGTATCACAGCTCCTCAGTGTGGATAGACATCCCCAATATAATCCTGGGATAATAGATGTTCTGTCAAGAATGGTGAAATTGTGTAAGAGACAGGGCGCAAATTTACTGTAGATGACACTACGATCGAGGAGTCTAAATAAAAGATTATACGAACATAGAAGGGACATTTTACAAAACAATAAATCAAATGCGTTGGTAGTCAACCCTAACGAGACTGGCCACATTTTCAACATGAAAAAAAAAATGCTACTTTGATCAAAAGACGAAAACAATCCACTACGACGAAAACGTCTGGAGAGTGAATTGATCTGAAGGTAAATTTGCGCCTTGACTCTTTCACCAATCTTGGCAGAACTTCTATTATCACAATGTGGAATATCTACTAACAAATGTGATGGAAAGAAAAACATTATCCTGCTATCATATATATATATATATATATATATATATATATATATATATATATATATATATATATAACTAATACACAATAAAATATAGATATATGAGGTTATTTAAGATTTTATTGTGTATTAATTTATGCTCTGTAATAAATACATTGAGCTCTTTTTTGGATCAGTTTTAATATTTTATATTATTAGGATTCACTTGGATTATATACCAACGGATTTATTACCTTTACTATATAAGTTTATATCACTTTAATACCATCCGGCATATTTGTTCGTTGATCAGCTACGTGGGCAACGCTACTTATCAGTTATATCCACTTTTAACGACCCCCCTAGAAGCTTTGATTTTTATTATTTGATGAACCAAGGAACTGAAGATTTAAACCTTTAAATGAGAACAACACAGATAATGATATTAGTTCGACTTTTTGGTTTGGTTTGTTTCCTTTTTCGGCATATCAACCTCAATGCGTTAATACCGACAAGATTTTATTGCTCTAGTATTTTTTTCAAAAAGCATTTCTGGTAATATTTTCTCCAAAATGTACTGATGGTAATATTTTTACGCAAAGAAATATTGCTGGTAAAAATGTATTGCTGGTAATAATTTTTCTTCAAAAAATTTATTGCTGGTAATAATTTTTACAAGAATGTATTGCTGGCATTAAAACCTATTTTTACACTTTCATAGTGTTTTGTCTCTAGTTTGGGGGTTAACTATTTGTCCATATCTTGGACCATTACAGGTACTACCACACCGAGTCAGGATGGACCTAAGAACACCAGCAATTAAGAGGTGGTTCCACACCTCAAAACCTTCCGATCAAAGGCTTTGCAGTCGGATGTAGTTTATCGTCTTACCAAGGACGCGGATATAGCTTATTGTCATACCCAGGACCCAGTTCGACTGTAATGTAAAACTTCACACCAGAAATTCAGACGGTGTCTCGAGAAATTTTTGTTGGCAAAATCTTTTATTCATATACACACAACTCATCGTTATTCTGTTATATAATCGATTATATATTTTAAACTAAATTTCCCGCAATAAAAGGCTCGAAAGCCACACTACTGTTAATATGATTATGCTGAATGAGGCATGCAGTATGAATCAAAGCGAAGGTGGTAGTAAGTAAAGATAATAAGGATAAGGAGGATAGACGACGGTCGACACTGACTTGAAAAAGGTTAAAATTGTAATGCTCAGGTAAGCATCCCCGCAGGAGTCTGTTCCATAAAGTAGCGGTTCTTAACTTCCTTCTTACATTTGGAACGTGGATGAGGTTTTTTCAACTGTGTGGAACCAGCTTGATTTGTCTTTTTACGGATTATCGATCTTCTGCAGGTTATTTTAAAGCCAGAATATATTTTTAGACTGTAAGAATTTTTTGATGATAATAATGATTTACTTACTTCTACTATTTAATTCATAGATGTGGATGAGAAGAGGCGGATTAATAGCTTTCTGAAGGGTATTTGCGTGTAAGTGAATATAATGAACCCGACTGGAATTGGAACTCGCCACTCTGGTTTCCAATTCCGAGGCGTTATCTGTGAGACCACCAAGCTTACAGCACCTGGTAAACGGTCACCCATCTAGGTACTGACCAGGCTCGACGTTGTTTAACGTCTGTGATCGTACGTGAACCGGTGTTTTAACGTGATGTGTCTGTAAGCACTAGTGGTTATAGCATGGTGTGCTTCAGCAGTAAATATCTGAAATGAATAATGGAGCTGGTCTGGAGACTTGCCATTGGAATCAAGAGAGAGTAGCGATAGTTTTGCAACCTTGCCTTTATAGGAAAAAATGTCTGCCGTCACAAGGTCGCCTAAACGATTTAGAAATCAAACCAAGAGGAAGGGTCGAGAGGAGGGTGTAAATGGGAATGGCTAGCTTCTAATATTTTGGCTTTTGGCTAAGAAGAACGTCTGCGGTGAAAAAGAGGGGCCATAAAACGAAGGAGGAATAACTGATTGGGCTATTTTGACAGACACAAAGAAAGGAAGAATGAAATGCCGACGTAACTGTAGTTCTAATTCGTATGAAGTTTGAACCTCCTTTCTTTGAATTTCTGCATGACAGAAAAGTGATGGATTAAAAAAAAATCAAGGAACAGAAAATGAAAAGGTACGTATTTGTATTATTGTTGATCGATTAGATTGAGGGGTCAATATCAAGTCGGAATATAGAAGGACAATCCGTTTTTGATAGAGTTTTACATTAAAGCTTATCTCATATAAACTTCTAAAAATTATTCCACGGACGCATGCACGCGAACGTGCATCGGCAGAGACGGGGTCATGCCGCACGCACAGGAGCACACACAAAATAGCGGCGAAGAAAAAACAACTTACACCAGTGATAAGTGTATAAAAAAGAAAACTCAAGAAATATAAGCAGTCACTTGCTGATATCCTCTGATGAGTGGACGAGCAGGTCCGTCTAAGAAACTCTTGATGGTGAAAGTTACACACTTTTACTCATATTCTCTCTCTCTCTCTCTCTCTCTCTCTCTCTCTCTCTCACTATATATATATTGTCATATGCCCCAGTCGACGAATAGGTTTATAAGGCGATCATACGCCGACTAGGAGATATATACATTCTCACACTTGTTGAGAGATACAAGCTATCTCTCCCAGATCGTGACAATGGACAATTGGTAAACAAAAATTTTTTTAAGAACACTCTTCGATTGGGGTAATCGAACAGTAATCTTTCCCAGGTCCACTTCGTTTTCAACACGAATACTGATCCACAATACAAGGATGAACTATAAGGCTTAGCGATTTTTGATACAAGAATTTTAATATGTACAAATATACAAATATCAAAATAAAAGAACAGGTAAGTATGCGTTAAAACATCCGACGACCAGATCTCAAAACATACGTTGGGATATCAAAATTCGCCTAACACCAAATGGATTCAACTGAACCCGAACATACAAAAATATAAGTATGAATTACTATGAATTGAATGCAGAAGCCAACGCATACACAAAAGATATGGGATAGGAGTTACAATTATTGTTTTGACATGTGGAAAGGTGTTTGCAAAAACATAATATTCATGGATGTATGTATATCTTTCTACTACGGGTCCAAAATATGATTACTTATCTTTTATATTCAGTTCTCTTTTTTTATCATTGTCCTTTCTTTTCTTTTCTCGACACAAACACAATTTCACACACTGTCTGGCTGTAATAGAGGTATACACTTTCTTCCTCTCTTTGTTTTGCCTTTTTCTTTCCTTCCTTTTTCTTCTGTGGACTGTTCGGTTTCCAAACCCGGCTCACTGCAACAGGGATGTACACTTTCTTCCTCTCTTTGGTTTTCTTCTTTCTTTCCTTCTTCTTCTTTACACAATTCAGCTTATAACAGAGGTATACACTTTCTTCTCTGGTTTTCCTTTTTCTTTCTTTACACAACTCAACTTGTAACAGAGGTATATACTTTCTTCCTCTCTTTGGATATCCTTTTTCTTTTCTTTACACAGTTCAACTTGTAACAGAGATATATGCTTTCTTCTCTGGTTTTTCTTTTTCTTTAAACGCAGGCTGAATCCTTAGCGTATAAATTTCTCTGCGTCTTCAATTTGGGGTTCTCGAACAGGAATACTTCTTGTTATATTTCTTGTCCGGAGTTGCCTGGGTTGAACTGGATAAGTTCCATCGCTATCAAATGCGTCTTATCTTTCCGTTCATAAACTATCAGCGCTTCGGCTTCAGATCTTGCCTCTTCAAAGTCAAGATAGCAACTAATTCTCGAGTGAATCTCTGACTATCACATGTCTTAAGTTTTGGCGCGAATTCCAGCTTACATCAGTCCCCTATCTAGCTTCTGTCTAGACATTTGTCGCTACGGGTAATTGGGTCAGTCAACCTTTTGACCTGCCTTCCCAAAATGTCATAAGACTCCCACGTGACCTTTATTCTGTTGCTAGGCGGAAATTAACCCTAATATATGCGTATATGCGCGTTTAGGCTATCTGCTTTCGTCACAATATATATATATATATATATATATATATATATATATATATCTTCAGGCGTGATAGTGTGATGCGTGTTCTTAGCGCATATATCTATTGTACATTTAACGATTCAAGAAAAAACAACGAAATTCCACTTGTGGATCAACAAATAAATATATATTGAAATATAACATACAAAACAATAATGCAATGAAGTGTAATGATTAAGGGAAAAAAGTTGTTCCCCTTCAACTGTATTCTAATTTAGGATTGAATGTTTGAAAGAGTTTCTCTTGAATAAGAATGTTCAGGATTCTATGTTGAATAGAGCCTGCTGTTAGAATAGAATACAGTTAATTAAGAAATGTGTTTTTTAAAGAAATTAATAGAGTTCTGGTTCATGAATTTGGCTGAATCACAGAGAGAGATATGTATAATTTGTTACAAAAATCTGTGTCTGTGTGTGCGTTTGAAATATTGTGAGTAAAGTCGTTGATTCGTGTGGGCAGGCGAAATAGCTGGACTGTACTGGCGGCTTTTGGAAAAATTGCTTCTTTTAAAGGTACCAGTAGGCTCCGAGCGAAAACGCGGGAAAAGTTGATTTAAAAATGTTTGATTGGTTAAAATTTGTCCAATTACTGATTTTGTATTAAAGAAACATGTGATTAAGTTCACGACTGAAAAAATTCAAAGTGATGACTGCGATTGCTAAATTGTCTTATAGAAAAGCAGTATTGATTTACTAGCCAATCACAGAAGAATAAATTGTGCGCGTGGAAAAGCATAGCAGTCGCTACAACCGTAGTACGAAACTATATGTTGTTCATTAGTACAAGTATTTATGCAAAGTTGTACGTTGTTATCCATTACCGTAATTTTTCATTACGCTTTTAAATGCAAAACGGTTGACAATGTGCTGAGCGTTCATTAGAACGTGAAAAAATTATCCATATGGAATTTTTCGTGATATATAATTATCAATTCTATGATGATCCCAGAGTCTCTTTTTAATTAGCTGGCAAAGTCGCTGATGTTATTTGCTGGATTTGGAAAGTGAAAGGGAGTATAAACAATATTTTACCCTACTGGATTTGAAGGATGTGAATTTTCTCTTGAATTAAAGCCCCGAAATGGATAACCATCACTTTATGGTTTTCTTCTATATGTTGTGTTTCTTCAGTACGTGAACGATCATGACTCTTCACATCTTCCTATTCATTTGGACAGCTTTTAGCAACGTTTGTCTCATCGTCAAGCCTTCCACTACACGTGCCAAAATTTCGTCTAGTAGGTGGAATGTTAATATATCAAAGCCTTTCTCCATCTTCTATTTCTGATTCTAAGTATAAACGTACCCTTTGTTTTCATTTTCGTAAAGCGTTTTCGTTGCTTACACGGTGTTCATGGAATTCTCAGCATCCTTCTGTAGAACCACATTTCTTTTGCCTCCAGTTTTCTCTTCATCTGTGATAAAATTGTCCAGCATTCACTTATATCATTTGTCGTATAGGAGAATTGTTATTATATAGCAGTTCTACCTTTGCTATTCTTAGTAGATTGCTTAGCTTTTGGAAAGCATCTTTTGCTATTCCAATCCGCTTTCGCATCTCTGTGTCACATTTTCCCATTTCTATTAAAAAAAATCTCATAAATGTAAAATCCGTACTTGTCAGATGTTGACATCTTCAATTCGTCATTCGCATCTCGGACTTCTATCGCTGGGGTTACGATCATGATGCCTTAAAACGCAAGTTAGAGAAGAACTAGACCACCAACATTCCAAAACAATCAGAAAAGCAAGAATCATCGAAAAAATTTCTAAGATCAGCGCTCCGTTTAAAACATGGTCATGTTGTCGTCACGTGGGCGACGCTGTGAAAACGTTTCTTATAAAACTTTCAGTTATCTGTTGGATAAGTCTTGTTCTTATGTACATCGTCTTTGTCATGTTGAATTGATAATGTTAATTATATTTTATGAATAAGTCCTGAACATGGTTTATTAGACCGAAACGTCCGACGTTGACATATTAACATTAAAACAGCATAATTGTATATAAGGATTTTTGTTTGTTTTTTTTCCGTATATTTTTCTTCATACTGTCGGATCTATATCCATATATTTGCTTGCATATATATATATATATAGAGAGAGAGAGAGAGAAAGAGAGAGAAAGAGAGAGATAGAGAAAGAGAGAGAGAGAGAGAGAGTGTGTGTGTGTGTGTGTGTGTGTGTGTGTGTGTGTGTGTATTAGAAGAGAGAGCGATAGTAGGGGGAGAAAGATTAATTAAGTGGTCCAACAGCTGGTAGTCAAAGAACAATTTATGCCTCATCGTTTGCGAGCAAGAAAAGCGAATACCGCATCTCATAATGGCTCCGACAATAGCTTTGATGCTCGCAAATAAAATCGGTCGAAGTATTTATGAGCTCAGCATTGACTATGATTACCGTAAGGAGGATCTTAGCTAATGTGCTCCAGTCTGCTGTCCAACTTTATCGAGAAGATTGAGTGGCTGAATACCTTGAGGATGCTAGATCGAAATTCTTTGCAGTTAAGGGACTCAAAGAAGACAAATAGCCAGGGTTCTTTCATAATAATTTTTGTCCCTTTGATGGAATTCTTTTCATACAAATATATCTCACAGAATTATCTTTTTTTTTCTTTCTTTTCGATCATTGTT